ATAGCTGGTAATGTTGTTTTAAAAAACGTATAGCTGGTAACATGCTTCTTCAAAAACGTATTACTGGTAACATGCTTCTTCAAAAACGTATTACTGGTAACACGCTTCTTCAAAAACGTATTACTGGTAACATGCTTCTTCAAAAACGTATTACTGGTAACATGCTTCTTCAAAAACGTATTACTGGTAACATGCTTCTTCAAAAACGTATTACTGGTAACATGCTTCTTCAAAAACGTATTACTGGTAATAGTTTTTGTTTTTCCTTCAAACATTTATTTCTGGTAATAACTTTTCACAAAGTATTTCTGGTACTAAAACCCATTTCTACACCTTCACAATGCTCTTTACCTCAGTTTCGGAGCCAACTACCTGCTCACAGCCAGGTCCCCAACAGGTGCCATCACCCCGGGCCAGGGTAGACCTGGGAACACCAGCAATTAAGAGGTGGTTCCACGCTCTTCAAAGCCGCCTGATCAGAGGCCCTGCTGTTGGACGTAGTTTATCGTCTTATCTTACCCTTGACGCAGACGTAGTTTATCATCATACCCAGGACGGGAATAAACGTAATTATAGGATACACAAAAAAAGGTGTATTTATTGAATTCCTTTTCTATCCGTGTGCAGGCGGTTTCCTCCCAGTAAAAGTTCTGGATTGTTTTCAGAAATAAATCAAGCTAACCGAGCAATTTAAACAAGGAGTCCGAATGAAAGAATCATGGGGATTAATTTAATTTTATCCAAGAAAATGTTTTAAAATACTCCTCTTGGAATTTTAACAGTATTATGAAGACGCAAAAGTTTCAAGTTGGATTTATTTTTTTTTTTTAACTTCCCTCGAATTCTCTCAGCTAAGACGGGTTTGAAGATATGACAAATGAGCAAAATGTTTTTACGGGTTAAAAAAAAAAAAAAAAAAAAAAAAAATAGGACTTCACCCGAGAGCGATAAGAACACCAAAATATAAGGGTTAAGGATATGTCCGTAATTTTGGTACTCTTGTAACCGTACCATAACGTTATTAAAGAAGAAATCTGAAGACATCAAAAAACCGGTGTTCGGTGAAATTTGTCACTCAAACTCCAGCGATTATTCAGAGATTGAGATTTATCGTATATTAAAACCAATTAAGGCACAAGGCTAAAATCGGGAGGGGTTGAGGTTGTTCGATATTATCTCATACCTAGCTAATCCGATTCACGGCCCATTCACTCATTACAATTTCCACATTCACAATAAAAACATGTCCGTCACCAATCAATCCTCCACACACCATAATACCGCATCCTCTCAAGGGGGTCCTACAAAACGCGCCCCATGCCATAAAAATGTAACAACAACAAATTATGATATATATAAAAATCTAATAATGAAGAATGAGAGGGGAGGGAATAACCCCCAAAACAAACTAAACATGAACACAAACTAAACATGAACACAAACTAAACATGAACACAAACTAAACATGAACACAAACTAAACATGAACACAAACTAAAACATGAACACAAACTAAACATGAACACAAACTAAAACATGAACACAAACTAAACATGAACACAAACTAAACATGAACACAAACTAAACATGAACACAAACTAAACATGAACACAAACTAAACATGAACACAAACTAAACATGAACACAAACTAAACATGAACACAAACTAAACATGAACACAAACTAAACATGAACACAAACTAAACATGAACACAAACTAAACATGAACACAAACTAAACATGAACACAAACTAAACATGAACACAAACTAAACATGAACACAAACTAAACATGAACACAAACTAAACATGAACACAAACTAAACATGAACACAAACTAAACATGAACACAAACTAAACATGAACACAAACTAAACATGAACACAAACTAAACATGAACACAAACTAAACATGAACACAAACTAAACATGAACACAAACTAAACATGAACACAAACTAAACATGAACACAAACTAAACATGAACACAAACTAAACATGACGGATGTTAATAGGGCCCGTCCAAACCTCAAAAAGTAGAGGCGATAATTCAGAGATTTCGTGCATGAGCATGCAAATTCACAATATATAAATCCACATACATAAAGTTTGCGCGCGCGCACGCACGCACACACACACACGTGTGTGGAGGGAGGGAATCTACAGCATCGAAATTGACGATTTGTACATCTATATATAAGACTAAGTGATACGACATAAATAAAGCTAAAATAAAAAAAAATTATGCTTAAAGCTTTTTTAATGCTAAACTTTATAAATCGCCATAATTTACCAATGCAAATTTAACGATTTTTTTTAAAAGCAGCTATATTCAAATTTGGCTAAATTTAAAGCGTGTCCACTTGTGACGTTAACGTTGCTTAAAGAAATAAAAAATGTAAAATTAAACGAAAAAGAGTTACTAAAGTCATTATTTCAGAAGGTATTCAGTGATTCTGCTAGTTTAGTATCTGTCTATATTTCTGAGATGAGGTATTATGTACATTATTTACATTATTCGGACTATTGTCCTCATCTTTTTCACCATATTTATTACAACGTTTCGGCCGTTGTACGCTCCGGCCTTCTTCAGGTGGTTGGAATGTCGAACTGAACCCTTTATTTTGCTCACTGGGGTAGACTAGTGCCATGTTTAATGGATGTCAGTTATCAGTTCTGTTAATTTTCCCTCTGAAAGTTCCCCATTGCCTTAGCCGGGTATTGAACTCACACTTTCGGTCCTGTCACTGGATCTAACTAACACCTTTATCCAGTGTGCAATGTGTCCTTGAGGTCATCTGTGTATGGATTTCTGGGTATTATAAACAAATTGCGATATGGGCACTGGTAAAAAATGGTTGCTGAAGACATTAGGTTTATAATACCCAGAAATTCATACACAGATGGACACATGGCACAGTGGATAAAGGCGTTGGTTAGATCCATTGACAGGACCCAAAGAGTTAATATTACCAGCCATACATTTTTGAGGAAAATAATATTACCAGAAGTAGATTTTTCACAAAACAAAACATTACTAGGGAAAAAAATATTTGTCGGCATTAAATGACCCATTGAGGTTTTGATGTGCCATAAAACAAAACAAAACAAACCAAAACAAATCGCTGAAATTCATCCATTAGTTTCTGAATCTATAGCGGATAAAGACAAATCTCATTTGATTAGAAGAGACATGGCAGACAATAACTGAGCAGTACTAAAAAGAACCACACGGGGCATGAGCAGTGGAACCAGAATGAATCCAAGTGCACACTACCCGGCGCAGAGATTGAACTCGCAATGACGATTCCCGACCCAACGCTTTTATCAAACCAAGACAATACTCTGTGGATAACTTAAACCTAACCTGCCTGATGATGAGTGCTGCTTGTCTGCACTCACTGAAGCTTTTCCTTTTTGCTACAGCTGTTGCTGAAGATTTTGTCGTTTTTCTTTCCGCTAATAAAGAAAAAAGGCCGAAACGCACAACGGCCGAAGTTTTATAATAACAAAGGCGAGGACAATAGTCTGCATGTAAACAGTGTAAATAATAACCCCTCATTCCAGAAATTCAGAGAGAAACTTTACGATTTTCTCTAGATTCGACAATGTAGATGAAACCGATCCCGAAACGGAACTTAGACAGTTTTACAATTTAAGAGAGACGCTGGGAACTATGGAGACATTACTTTCAAAGGAATTTGTATTTCGCTAATATTAAACGGTAGATTCCGGACTGTAGAATAACTAGAAGTTTTAATGCGCTTGTCTAATAAACCTTAATAGTGAATTTCACGGATTATACAAACGACGATTTGGTGGAAAAAAGAAAAATAAAGCTTTTATAATAATTTTGAGAATTTTTTCATGACTGTGTCACTAAAGTTGGACATACTGAAACAAATTGAAATGTTCAACGTTAAATGATAGTTCTTCCCCTGAGTCTTTTACGGATTACTTTTAAATCTTGTGAAAGTCAACGCCATGCTTCAATCGGAACAATCAATTTGTAAGCACTTTACATATCTCTTAATACAGTCTAGACATTAATTCTTTAATCGGTAACTAAGACTATCTCAGATTGACGTAATAGAGTCTGCCTATACATGACAGTTTTTTTTTTATTTTGTTTTGTTACTTGTTTTTATTAAACTAAGCTTAGCAAATAAAACTCAGTTTTTAAGCGAATTTATTTCTCCTGTGCAAAGGAGAATTCTAGTCCATTAAAAATATTAATTACAGGAGAAAAATGCCGAGTTGATCAACTATAAACAGAGATTATGAGAGGGTGAAAGATCGTTGTATTCTCCCTACTATAGCTACTTGTCAGTGTTTGAGGCAAGATAAAAGGATTTCGAATACCGATTTGGAAGGTATTCTCTCATCACACGACAGGTGAAGTCTAACTTAGTTTTTACTTACATTGAACCAGACAAACATGTTTAATCTCATTTGAGACGATATTGTATCGAAGCATCTCAGATGGTTAATCGATCAATTTTGAACAGTTTGGTGTGTATAAAACTTTTTTTTTTCAGTAAATATTTCATTTATTATTATAAGAGCAATGATTATGTTTTCCAGATACAAGTCCTGTTATTTAACCCATAGCTAGGGAAAGGTGATTTTATTTTTTTCAATGCTATTTGTATGTAAATAAACCCAAATGAACTACTTAACAAACAGGCCTTGTGTAAAAAAAAAAATTAACATTGCTAATTGGAAATAGTTTTCAAAATTATTGCTAATCCTCGGTGTTTTTTTTTCAGCTGACTTACAATAAAAAGAAAAAAAATGGATGAAGTAAATCTGTTTTATAAATATTAAAATTCTCGGTAGAATTAGACGAGTTTCTTGGAATAATATTCACATCTACGCGAATATTGGTCGGAACAATTCTCAGAAAAAATTAGTTATTCCCTTCAGACTGTGTATCAAATCATTACGGACATGAAATAGTTTCAGAAACTTTCATAAACTCACCTAGTTTCCAACTATCTAACATTACTTCGTATATACCGGTGTGGGAGGGACCTGATTCCGACTGGTGTGAGGGTCAGAATAAATACCAGCAACAGGAAGGCGGATATAATTTAAGAAAGGGTGGGGCATACTTTGGCAAGCGAGAGAATGAATCACCAGCCATGGTAAAAACGAACAAGTGAAAGAATTTTCAACTGAATACGAAGAAGCCTCCTCCTTTTGTCGCAAAATCAAAGTCGTACTAAAAAAGAAATAAAACAACGGAGAATTTTGTGTTTTTAAAAATGGGAAGGCTAGCTGTTAGTCTGAACAAAATCTTATGAAATTAGGAGTAACTTATGAACGGAGAGGTTTTTTTTTAAGAAAAGGAGTAAAATGGACAAAATTAAGACAAAGGAAAGGACGGATTAAAAAATGCGTGCTAACTGACTGGCGCATCTCCCTTGCTAAGAGATTGGCGCGTCCTTGGTAAGACGATAAACTACGTCCAGCAGCAAGGCCTCTGATCAGGAGGTTCTGGGGAGCGTGAAACCACCTCTTAATTGCTGGTGTTCCAGGTTCACCCTGACCCGGGGTGGTGGCATCCGTTAGGGTCCCAACTATGGGCAAACAGTTAACCTCCTGAACTGGGGTCAAAACACTATGAAAGTATATATATATATATATATATATATATATATATATATAATATTAGTACTGTCCGTCACTTCGCTCAAAAAACGCATAGCATGGAGAAAAAAGGCCCCAAACTTAATAAAAACAAAATTTTATCGTGAAAAAGTTTTATTATTAAGAGGAAAGACCAAGGTATTTTTTAATTATTTAAAAATTTTTTTTCATTTGTAGCATATTTTAAATTTAGGTTGAAAATCTTGTCTTTTTTTTTAGGTCAAAAATTAGGTAATATTAGCATTACTTGTTTTTCACTGTTTCAGTTGAAAAAAAAAACACATTGATTTGGAAAATCTTGCAAAAATCAAGTACTTGTTGGATTTTAATGAAACCTTCAGAAAATTAGTGATATATATATATATATATATATATATTTATTAAACATTAAATTATAACAAAAATATTATAAAATCACTACAAGAATAGCCATTTTGTTTCAACACTTCTGGCTTGGTTATAATAATTATTTGATGCTTTAATATTAGGGTTAGACTAAAATAGAATTCTTTCTGACTAATTAATATTAATTATGCTATAAAATTAAAAATTACCAATTTTAAATTTTATCTATATTAAGTGTGAAAATTTTTTAAAGTATTTAAATAAGAAACTGAGGGAAAAAATACATATATTTTGTTATTTATTTTGTTTTTACTGAAAGGCCAAAAATGAAGTTGGAATAAACGTTAAAATCTAATGTTGCTCTGAGCTCCGTTACAACTTATATACATTTAAAGTTAACATATGGGCTAGGGAGGTTGAAATCTTGCAAAGACAATACATACACAATCAGATTATAATACACAAACACGTAGACATATGTAGATATATAAACATGCAAAAAAATAAAAAATAAAAAAAAACGACGAGACAGGAAATGGGTATCCACGACCCTTAAAAAAAAAAAAAAAAAAAAAAAAAAAGGCTCGAGGATGAAACTGCCACCCAGTGGTTAAGGTTTAATATTGGAATTAAACTTAAATACTGCTGACCAGATTCGAAACGTAGTAATTTCTGTGTTACGATGGAATCATATTTTTAAAAATAATTATATACACAAACACCTCTCAATTGCCGGTATTTTTATAAAATTTTTTTTCGTTTTTGTTTAGGCGTTCAATATTTGCCCATAGCTGGGACCCTAACAGGTGCTACTACTCCGGGTCAGGGTGAACATGGAAACAAAAGGAATTAAGTGGTGATGCTACTCTCTTCAAAATCTCCAATTGCCTGATCAGGAGACCTTGCTCCCGGATGTAGTTTATCGTCATGCCCAGAACTAAGGATAGTAAAGATTTGTTTGTTTGGTTTGTTTTACGGCTTATCAACCCCAATGGGTTATTTAATGCCGACAAAATTTTCATTGCTAGTAATCTATTTCTGGTAATAATTTTTTTTCAAAAATGTTTTGCTGGTAATAATTTTTTTCAAAGTATTTCTATATTAAGACCTGTTTATACACTTTCATAGTGTTTTTACTCCAGTTTCGGGGTTAACTATTTGTCCATAGGTGGGACCCTAACAGGTGCTGGACCCCGGGTCAGGGTGAACCTGGGAACACCAGCAATTAAGAGGCGATTCCACACTCCTCAAAACCTCCTGATCAGAGGCCTTGCTGTTGGGCGTAGTTTATCGTCTTACCCAGAACGCAGATACTAAGCAGAGAAACAGAACTACAAAGGAGAAGGCATTGTAGAGAGGGAGATAACTGTCTACGCTCTGAAAAGACCCAGTAATAAAAAAAAAAACGAATCTCTCAGTGTTAAGTGAATATAAGCCGTGCAAAACGAACCGTGTGAATAACTGACACTCGATCCGAAAATAAAGCATAAAACTCATCAATGTCCAATGTAGACAAACGGCAACTTGTTATACAATCACCTAGTAAAGCAGCACTGAATGTTAAAAATTTAAATTTTCCAAAAAAAATTTTCAATAAGCAACTAGCGAACAAATTCTCTTAATAGCCATTTTGCATCCAGGATTTTAAATCATGTGAGAAAATGTTTAATCATATTGTTTGTCGAAAACGAGGTTCTGTTAAATAAACTGATCCAAAATTTGGAATCCGATTTAATTCACTTATTCAAATAAAACACTAGTTTCTAGACGCTTCATCGTGATGTATTTGTCAACAAACTAAACATTAGTAGACAGTCCCTGTTGCAGACGACTGCTCAGCTACATTTTTGTTTGTTCACCACTCACAAAGACCACCTGTGGTTTATACTGCAACTATGCTAAGCGGAACTTAGTTACAATTTCTGGGAAAGGGCGTGTTATTTTAGCGTGATCGACAGTCTGATCAAGGCCAGCAGGCTCAAACCCTCGGTCACGATGACTTGCGACTTCATGCTAGCACAAACATCAACGGCTCCCCAAAGAGGTCCGTCTACCCAATTTCACAAGGTTTCGGTCAATGATTTTCAGACACTTTCTTAAAGGTTTCGTACACTGGGATTGCCTCATCCAGACAGATAACATTAAGAAGTAACCTTCCTGACAAAATCGACCACTGCTACTAATGAAATTACACTCCTACTACCTTATTTACTACGTAGTACAAAGATTATAAAAAATGTTAAATCGACCGTAATGTGACATCTTGGGTCTTTGGTTTGAATTATCTTAGGAAACACATGAAGTAGGCAATAAATAATTTTTATCTGGATTGGGCCTTACGACAATCAGCAGTAAAATCGAGATAAGCAACCTTAGCTGTCCAGAAGTAGAAAAAATAGCAATAAAGTAAAAAAGTAAATGAAAATTTGGGGATAAAATGCCAATCGACCGGAAGATTGGGAATACCATTCGTTGGCTTATATAGTCAGCTCCTATTCTAGAAGAGGCAGTGAGTCAACGGTCGGAGATGAGGATGGGCAGAGAGGCGGTAAAAGAGTGGTCAGTGACAGTGGTCGGACGTACTATAGTAAGAAGCCTTGGTGGAGATGTAGAAACTGGAGAGAGTTGGTGTTCTCGCTGGGCAAAGGAAAGATCTGGTCTGTTAGCCAGTTGGGAAAGAAGTCAGGAGAAGCCGCTTAGTTACCACCGGACGGCACCGGAGAAATAAGAGAAAAAAGAAACCAATATCTTGAAACCAGAATTAGTGCTGCTTTCTTTTCAAATTATTCGGATATTTTCACATTACTTTTCTTTTTTGAACGTACACCGAACCTTTCACAGTTTTTGTTCGCACCGACACGAAGGGAAATTGAAAGAGTCTAGTCGAGTAAAACCGTCGTTAGAAGGCTGTAGTCTCATTTTTTTTTTTAACCGAAGTATTACAGACTAAATACAATTTACTGGACTGAAAACACCAAACGGGCTATGATATCACCTACGAGATTACAGTAAGCTACTCAATGTCTCGTTACGAATTAAGCGTGAGTACAACAAAGATTAGTAATTGTGACTGACAAGAAAAAACTAAGAAAAAAGATAACAGAACAAGACAAGAAAGCCACGGAAAGATAGTGAACCTTAAAAATTATGACAAAGTCAATAATAAGAACGCATAATAAATTCAACATAACAGCTCAGAATACAATGAGAGATAGCGAGCTGTAGTTTGAATATTGGTCTGGTTTGAATATCGTGTCTGGACTAAAACTGTCCAAACTTTAGTACTATAGATTTATTGCGTATACAGTACAGCAATTGTGGCGCAAAGCCAAAAAGAAAAAAAAAACAGTGGGAGAATGGGTCGAGGCTGGTCGATACTATTTTATACCTAGCTAATCCGATTCACTACACAGTCATTCGTTACACATCCACCACAAGGACTCGTCCATCATTATTCAATACTACATATAACACAATACCGCACACACCCACAAGGAACCTATAAAATACCCCATAACAAAAATTCTTGAGTATAAAATTATATATAAAAATTCATTGCTGATAAGCAATGAGGGTGAAGGGGGTGAACATAAAACTAAACTAAAATATAACAAAAGACACAAATTAAAATAACTGATGTTAGAAAGGACCCGTCCAACCCTTCGACCAAACTTTAGTACTCACAAATTTAATTAACCTATCTTTAGATAGATAAAAGTAAGACTAAAATCTATGCAATGCGAATACAGAAAAACAATAATCGATGGATACTTTTTTTTTAATTTGGAAGCTGACAATCCGTTAGCTTCGTCGTTTGACATTAAAAGAAATGAAATAAAAATGCTTTATTTTTTTTATTATTATTCTATCTTGTAATGACATTTGTTTTTTTTTGTTTTGTTTTTTTTCGTTAATTGAATCGTGTCTTCAAGTTTCTCAGAGTCACGCTGAAGCCACAGGAATATTGCGAATAAAATATTTTACGTTCTAAATTTATGTCGCCACATCAATTCTGATGACAACTTAAATAACGATTGTTTGTTTCAATACCATCAACATTCTGATGTATCTCTATTGCTTGACGACGCTATCACTCAACGAAATTAGTTTAAGGTATTTATTGATCGCTTACCTTCGTCTACCAGTGGAGACTGGGTTCTCTAGCCTTGATTGTTAGCTAGTCTAGGTGAAGGACTATGAATTCAAAACACGTGAAGAAAACGGTAAACCACTCCACTATCTTTAGTAAGATTTCCTGCTAAGTCGTAAGGTAATAAAATTAATCTGTGGAAAGCCATTATTGCCTACATTCTAAACACACACATTATATATATATATATATATATAGTGAACATAGAAGTCAACATATTGAGCACTTTATCCTATAAATATAGCACATCTTAAGACTATATTTCTTCATATATATATATATATATATATATATATATATATATATATATAGGATAAACAACAAATAAGAATCGTTTATCAATTTAACATGTTTTCTTTTTATTAAAGCTATATCAGGAAATGAGAAGAATATCGGAATTTCTTTCTATTTTTGATTATCATTGGTTGAATTCAGAACGCCACGTATTAACGTTGTTTAACAAGTCAAATACACGTGAAACCTAATTATCCAAGCAAACATAGAGAGGGGATATATATATGGGAAGAGAGAGAAGAGAGAAAGAGGGAAAGAGAGAGAAGAGAAAAGGGAAAGAGAGAAGAGAGAAAAGAGGGAAAGAGAGAGAAGAGAGAAAAGAGGGAAAGAGAGAGAAGAGAGAAAAGAGGGAAAGAGAGAGAAGAGAGAAAAGAGGGAAAGAGAGAGAAGAGAGAAAAGAGGGAAAGAGAGAGAAGAGAGAAAAGAGAGAAAGAGAGGAAAAAGAGAGAAGAGAGAAAAAGGGAAGAGAGAGAGAGAGAAAAGAGGGAAAAGAGAGAAGAAGAAAAGAGGGGAAGAGAAAGAGAGAAAAGAGGAGAGAAGAGAGAGAAGAGAGAAGAGAGAAAAGAGGGAGAGAGAAGAGAAAAGAGGGAAAGAGAAGAGAGAAAAGAAGAGAGAAAAGAGAGAAAAGAGAGAAGAGAAAAGAGGGAAAGAGAGAGAGAGAAAAGAGGAAAGAGAGAGGAAAAGAGGGAAAGAGAGAGAGAGAAAAGGGAAAGAGAGAGAAGAGAAAAGAGAAAGAGAAGAGAAGAGGGAAAGAGAGAGAAGAGGAAAAAGAAAGAGAGAGAGAAGAGAAAGAGAGAAAGAGAGAGGGAAAGAGAGAAGAGAGAAAGAGAAGAGAGAAAAAGAGAGAGAAGAGAGAAAAGAGGGAAAGAGAGAGAGAGAGAAAAGAGGGAAAGAGAGAGAAGAGAAAAGAGAGAGAAGAGAGAAAAGAGGAAAAAGAGAGAAAAGAGGGAGAAAGAGAGAAAAGAGGGAAAGAGAGAAAAGAAAGAGGGAAAGAGAGGAAGAAGAAAAGAGGGAAAGAGAGAAAAGAGGAAAGAGAGAAAAGAGAGGGAAAGAGAGAAAAGAGAGAAAGAGAAAGAGAGAAGAGAGAAAAAAGAAAAGAGAAAAGAGAGAAAGAGGGAAAGAGAGAAAGAGGAAGAGAGAGAAGAGAGAAAAGGGAAAGAGAGAGAAGAGAGAAAAGAGGGAAAGAGAAAGAGGGAGAGAGAGAGAGAAAAGAGAGAAGAAAAGAGAGAGAAGAGAGAGAAAAGAGAAAAGAGAAAAGAGGGAAAGAGAGAGAAGAGAGAAAAGAGGGAAAGAGAGAAAAGAGAGAGAAGAGAGAGAAAGAGGAAAAAAGAGAGAGAAAAGGAAAGAGAAAGAAGAGAGAGAAAAAGAGGAAAGAGAGAGAAAAAGTCTCTTACTATAAATTGAAAGAGAGAGAAGAGAGAAAAGAGGGAAAGAGAGAGAAGAGAGAAAAGAGGGAAAGAGAGAGAAAAGGAGGAAGATATTGAACCAGTCTCTTACTATAAATTGCCTGCCTTAGACAACCAATCTTTGGGATATTCGGTGACGGTAAAAGACGACGGTACGTATAAAGACAAACGTTGTTTCGGATCACGTCTTGCATCTGCTTGGGTGAGGGTGGAACGTCACTATCAACAGCAAAGAAACACCGTCTCTCACTTACGTGACAATGCAGCCTTTAATAGGAGGTGCGACCACTAATTGTACCAAGTCACTTGTAATGCAATTAAAAAGCATTATGATTACTGAATCTCACCATTTAACGATGTCCGTTTGAAGAAGTCGATCTATGCATCAGTTATTGCATAATTAAAATTTTCTCTGTTCTTTATGAAAGCGCTAATTTTATTATCTGGGTAATAAAAAATGGCTGAATAGCAATATACATTGGACACTTTATTGTCCGGTTAATCTTGTAAAATTGATCTAGAAGCGACATTATATCTGATTGAAATTCATAGTAATGGAAGGAAATTAAGGAGATTACGTCAATAGCTTGCGAAATACAAAGAATTTGATTTTGAGCACAAATGCGACAAAAAAAAAAAAAAAAAAAAAAAAGGGCAGTGAACGACTTTTGAATGGACGACTTTGAATTTTGGAAACTAAAAATGGAGGAACATTTAACGAAAAATATGGTACAGAATTAATTTCAACTTGACTCACCGCGACGCGAATGAGCCCGAAATTTTATTGTCGATAACTCTAAAACGGTAGATTTTATCAAAACGTCTTTGTTATTTTCGAATTAAGCATGTACATTTACATTGAACTATTAGGGGAAATTTTTATTAGAAACTGAGCGCGGGCCTTGAAATGCAAATTACCCTTTTGAGGTTCCGATTTGAAATTAGTTCTGTCACCCCATTCTTTCGTTCTGTCAGTTAAAAACCTTAACAGCAAGGACCTGCTATATCCACGGTATAGAATCACCCTCATTACACACGTATTCCAATCTTAACGGGAAAAGTTCTACTCAGATAAAACTTTTCCCAAGTGTTATTACTTTGTGGAACAGACTTCCGCATGGATTCGTCCATGAAAACTACGATCTGAACGTCTTCAAGTTAAGTCATTCATTATCTATTCACCATAATTTTCACTACATACTCTTACCCCTTAACTTAAATGGCTCTTGATCATTGTAGTTAGTGAAAAAAAAGTAAGTAAAAAAACAAAAGGGGATAAGAAATGCAACACAACACGTTTATTTGCAGAAGAAAAATGGAGGTGAACGACTCCATACTTGATTATACATTAAAACGTAATTTAATTTACATTCCATTTACGTGCAGATAGGTTTCTCCACTTCATCGGCTCCCACACGCATAGTTCGATCCCCAGTGAGTGACAATCGGATTCTTACAGTGGCGTTGTGGTTAACAAGCCAATTTTGCAGACCATCGCAGCCATAGGAGTAAGCTGTTTCATCGAGACTTAGAGTAGGGGATTGCGAGTTCGTTCAGCAAAGCAGAATTATTGATTTGTTATCTACGGTTTATCAGCCCTTTCCAGGTTATTCAAAGCCATGAAATATTTCTAGATTACAAGAATTTCTTTATTTTTTTGAGGGGGAGAGGGAGATGGGATGGGAGGAGATGGGGAGAGGGGAGGGAGGGAGAGAAAAAAGTCGTGGTTTAGTGATACTAGTCCTACTAACTAAGCCATAGCTAAAGGAAGAATAGGTGGATTCCTACGTTTGTGCGTTAGTGAATATAATGAACACATTGGGGATTAGAATTCTGAGCCATTATGACTTCCACTTGATATTCCCAAGCGGTCACCCATCTACCTACTGACCAGGTGTGACGTTGCATAACTTCGGTGATCGTACGGGAACTTGTGTTTGAACGAAAAAAAAAAAAAAAAAACGTAATGTGACAAACACTGATCAGAAATCTGTTAATCAGAAATGAGCCTATTCGAGTCAAAACAAGTATTATACACAACGATAATAAACAACTATAACATGGTGTTCAGATCCAAAATCTGAATTCCGGTGTCGTAATGCCAAAAGTCAAAGTCAGTCTCTAAAGCCTAAATTCAAAAATACCATGGGATGGGGGAGACGTAAATCAGAAGGGGTTAAAAAAATCCCCGACGCCTACTTCACCAATGAAGAACAGACAATACAACTGCCGTCCAAAATAGCTTTTGTTTTATTGGAGTAAGAAAGGCTGTGATTGGTCAAGACTAGTGGGTATGCGCAAAAAATTACGATATTTTGAATTCTTACTAAAGCAGACCGTAGACAACATGAATTATTTTTCTATGTCAGACATCAGACTTCGTCCTTCGTCGCGGTAAAAGAAATATTTCTCAATTTTGGCATGAGAGGTTATTTAAAAGGAACCAAGAAATTTGTATTTGATTAGAATAAAGGAAGCTGTTAGAAACAAGAATAGCGTAAACTGCGATAAACATTTGCAATGCAGAGAGGGAGTAAAAATGAAGTATGCATGGAAGGATGAAACAAAGTGATACTCATTTAGAAAGAGACAGGCTTAAACGTTGTACGCTTCGACCTTCATCAGGCGATATACGTTGGAATTTTGAACCAAAACTTTTATTTAGCACCCCTCGGGGGGGGAGTAGATTATTTTAAATTCCACATGCCATGCCTTATTTAGATAGCCCAGTTTCAGTTAACTCCCTTTAGTAACTCAACTCTCCAAGTTTTTGTTCCTTTTGCTGTGGTCAGGTATTAAACTCACAACTCTTTGGTTTGGTTTGTTTTACGGTATATCAACCTCAATGGCTTATTTAATGCCGACAACATTCTTATTGCTGGTAACATTTATTCTTCAAAAATGTATTGCTGCGATTAAAACCTATTTTTACACTTTCATAGTGTTTTGATCCCAATTTGGGGGTCAACTATTTGCCCATAGTTGGGACAGGTACTACGACCCCGGGTCTAGGTGGACATGGAAACACCAGCGATTAAGAGGTAGTTCCACTCTCCTCAAAACTTCCTGATCAGAGGTCTTGCTGTTGGACGCAATTTATCGTCTTACCCAGGACGCGGATGTAGTTTATCATCTTACCCAGGACGCACAACTCTTTGGGTCAAGTCACTTTTTGAATGACTTCAACGAACGTTTTTATCCACTGGTACACGTGTCCTTCGAGACAAGAAGGCCAGAGCGTATAAAAGCCGAAACGTCGTGAATATGCCAAAGACAAGGACAACACTATGAACGGTGTAAATAGTGCAACCTTTCCATAATATTCAGTTCTTTAACGTTCAGATGTGTGTGTTCAGATCTTAAGGATGAAGAATTTTAAAAGATTAAAATGAAATCAATACTTAGAAGTCACTAAACCTTTCTTGTACTGCCATCAAAATTTGATGTCATACAATTCATGCCCCCGACTATTGACATTTAATATGATAGTATTCCTGCGAGATTGTGTAAATGAATACCAGGAGGAAGAAATATTAAAGAGATCAAACATTACTTAATGCTACAGGGAATAGGAATTCGTGGAGATATACAATCGTGCACGTTCTGTAGAAAAAAAAAACGGTGTTACCCTGGGTACATTTATTCTTTCATCTATGGATTCAGTGTAAAAAAAAATTACTAAATCTCAAATTTGAAATCTCAGAGGCGAGAGATCTTTTTATGCCATTTTATATTTTTATCAAATAAAGTAAATTGCAAAAGCCATTTCTCCATCTTTTCCCCCAATTTATGCAAATTGTTTCTGCATCTCTCAAAATTGACTTGTGCTTGAGGTATTTATATTCAGTTCATTGGTTCTGCGATGAAATATTTTCATTATTCTACACATTGCCGATAAGTACGAGGGTAAGTAAAAAATCATCTGCACTTTCAACATAACATTTAGGTGTGCCACGTACTTATATTCGATACTATCGTTGTCACGTGATCGAAATTTGAGATCGATCGCGACAGTTTTCTTGTTGCTGTTACAGTGTAAACATGGCCACAACACTAACAGTGTGTACCAAGGAAGAACCAAGTGATCTGAATCGGCAGAGAACATTCTACCTTATCGACGATAACTCTCCGGTTCGCCATTATCATCTCTCAAGCTTGTGGATCTTCTCCTCGGTGGTGAAGAGTCAAGCTTGTCCAGTTTTAAATTTCTCGGCCCACTTATACACATTTCTACGCGGTAATGAACTGAGGTGGTATTGTGTTAAAAGCCTCCGCTGAAATTCAGCCCCTAATACACCTTCTGACCAAAGAAATCGGATTACTTCTCTTTGTTCCTCCTGGGTGCACACTGCTAGCGGAGCGGCCATGTATACACTGTAACAGCAGCAAGAAAATGCGAGATCAATCTCAAACTTCGATCCCGTGACCACAATAATGCCAATTGTAAGCCCGCATGCGCAGAAAGCAATGTGACGAACTTAAATACATGTTATGCTGAAAGTGCGAATAATTTTTGACTTACCGTCGCATATTAATCTAGATAAGTAATAACTTTCGTACGGTTTTCGTTTTAAACCCGATGTTTTGCATTAGGGGTGTCCTCCAAGTCGCACAGTCTCAGGCAGGCAGCACCTTTCGAAAGAATACTTCTGAAGCGTTGAGATATGCAGCTTCATTCCAGTTTTCTCCCGTTCTAGGTATGACGATAAATTACATCTGTGTCCTGGGTAAGACGATAAACTACGTCCAACAGCAAGGTTTCTGATCAGGAGGTTTTGAGGATCATGGAACCACCTCTTAATTGCTGGTGTTCCCAGGTTCACCTTGACCCGGGTCGTAGTACCTGTTAGGGTTCTAACTATGGGCAAATAGTTGACCTCCAAACTGGGGGCAAAACACCATTATTTGTAAAAAGAAATTATTACCAGCAATACATGTGAACATTAGAAATTAAATGGTGATTCCACGCTCCTCAAAACCTCCTGATCAGAGGCCTTGCTGCTAGATGTAGTTTATCGTGTTACCCAGGACACTAAAAAAAGTTTGACATTGCATAAGATTGGACAACACTAAGTAATCAACTGTAACTCAGAGATAATTGTTAGTAATCCACTCTCGCATAACACTACTCCTATAACGAGTATCCTAACTGCGTTTACGTCATGTTACCATGAAACCTACTCGGGTAAATTATCAATTTCTGCTCCGTAACTGAGAGAAAAATATTTCACATCAGCTGCGAACCGAATCAAGTTTGCCCAAGCATTGGAAGGTTAGCGCAATACATTATTTTTACTCTCTTTTTCCTTAGCCTTGTGACATACTAAGTCTAATAGCAAAAAAAACATATGAATATAATTAACAAGAATATACATGGTCTCCAGGTATCTGAAACACCTTCAGGTTATAAGTTGTTTTCTTCTCGATAATGCTCCAGACCTAATAGCCAAGGAGTTTCGAATCGAGTAACCGGGGTAGAAAACCGTGACATTGGCTAATTATTTTCATGTCCTTTGGGAATAAACATAGGACTGCAGCAACACAGCCATCACCTCCATGGAGACATTTGGACTGTCACGGATACCCGTAGGGTAGTGATATGTAGTTATTCACAAATCTCAGGACAATGAGAACTTGGGATGAATCACCGTGTGTACATTTGGTGGGTACCTGTCGTTTCTACTATTCACCTGGTCATTTTCAAACTATCAGCGAGTGGCTGTGTTTGGTGGCGTGACTTTCCATGTTTTATGTCAGATTAGAAGCTGAACACCATTAGACGGAACGCCCCAAAGACGGAACGCCCCAAAGAAGAGACGGAACGCCCCAAAGTAGACGGAACGCCCCAAAGGCCGGGCGAAGTAGACGGAACGCCCCAAAGGCCGGGCGAAGTAGACGGAACGCCCCAAAGGCCGGGCGAAGTAGACGGAACGCCCCAAAGGCCGGGCGAAGTAGACGGAACGCCCCAAAGGCCGGGCGAAGTAGACGGAACGCACCAAAGGCCGGGCGAAGTAGACGGAACGCCTAAAATCAAGAATGCAAAACTGTCACGGAGTGTAAAACTCGGCCGTACATTTTAGAACTTACGTACACGTACAATGTACTTCTAGATTGACATAGGGTAGAGAAGAGTCACAGTGACAATTTAAAAGGGGAAGAAACTAATGGAAGCAGGCAATGAAAGACAAAGGGCATATAATAGAATGTAGGAGGGAGAGTGCACTGAAGAAAGGAGGCCACAGATGAAAACGAGGCTAGGAATGAAAAATGGATTATATAGTTTTTAGAAAGTGATGACAATATAGAAGGTCACGGTGTAGACAAGAGAAAAAATTATTGAACAGAGTAAAACGGGGTCACAGGCAGAGAATGCAGAACGGGGTCACAGGCAGAGAATACAGAACGGGGTCACAGGCAGAGAATGCAGAACGGGGTCACAGGCAGAGAATGCAGAACGGGGTCACAAAGAACAGATGCACAAAATACTGGGTCTGTAGATTACGCTTCTTATACTGTGCAAGACACAGGGTGGGGGGGGGGGGTGGTCAAAGTGTGTGTATAAGGAGAGGCACAGGCAGAGAGGAAATAAGCACAGATGAGAATACTTTAGGACCGAGTAGAGTCACCGACAAACTATATACAAAGACGACAAACTTCGATGGAGAAAAGACGAAAACGAGGTCGCAAACAAAAGGTGTAGAAAAGATCACCATCCAACTGTAGAACTTTTGTGGATAGACAGATACAGAATTCGGTAAGGCCACCTACAAATAGAAATTATGGGCCCAGAATCCAAAGACTCCTCGTTTTACGACTATTTTTCGATGATTTCACAATGTAGCTATCGACTCCATGAATAGCTGAATAGCATCTGTCTCAGATTGGATACAGCCCGAATACTTTAATTATTCGCTGTCTTTGTTTCCCCGCTTCTTGTCTCTTGCTGTTCCGCATCAAATAAACTCTCCAATTACACACCGTAAGAAACACGCCATGATTATTAATTTCCCTCATGATTTGACAATAGTGGAAATAATACAAGCATCCTCGTTCTAATTCCAGACCCCACCCAATACACACACACGCTCTTATAAGCACTTGAGTATCACAGATTCTTTTCTCGGTTTCTCAAATAGTTGACTGATAAATGATGAGCCAATGTTTCAGTACTAAAAGCCTTGCATTTGAAAATAAAATAAGTATACCAAAGCTTTCTACCGAAGGATGTTGCGAATACCATATGGACCTAACACGTGAGCAACGACGAAGTTTTATAGAAAATGGAGGCAATAAGGAAACTTATAAATTGCATCAGATAAAGACAGTTCTAGGGTACGTAATGAGAGATTGGAAACTTTGGTACTCACAGGATATAAGGTAATGGACTGGACATAGGAAAGCAGCGCTTAGACGACCTAACAATCGTTTAAATGGATGGCAGAACAGGGATTAGGAGAGATAGCAAAAAGAAACTTTACTAAGGGCTACAAAAGACAGGAAGTTGCGGATAATCATTATCGCCCACGTCCTGAAGAGACACAGCACACAGATTCCAAAGCCTCGTTTTTAACCTTGACATGGACGCTGTTGTCGACAGATTGATTCGTTTTCTGCGGCTTATCAGCCTTTATCAGGTCATTTGAAGCCAGAACATATTTTAGATTCTAAGAATTTGGTGGGAGGAGAAAATGGGTTAGTGACAAGTCTTATTAATTAATTTATAGCTGGGTGGAAGAAAGAGTATTTGAGCGTAACTAAATATAACGAACTGGAATTGGAACTCTGCTCTCCGATTAACAATTTCGAGCCATTATACCACCGCACATCCAATCTTACAGCACCTGGTATTCCCAACAAGTCACCCATCTAGGTACTGACTAGGTTCAACGTTGCTTAACTTTTCAACGTGATATGGCCGTTAACCTGTTGACAGAAAGCGTGCCATAAGCTCATCCCGCAAACAGACGCAACTAACAAGTACATAATATTAATATATTCCACGAGCATACTGGGATCCAGCATTGGCGGCCATAATCTTAGCAACAAAAGGTACGCATATGACACATAGCATGATAGCAGACACGGAAAAGTAATTACAAAAGCTCCTACAGAATGTAGCGAAGGAGGGCGAGAAGAAGGGACTAAGCATAAATTAGAAGAAGACAGAAAGCATGGTCATCAGTAAAAGAAATGAACCTGAAATGCGATTTGCAAGTCGGAGACATTAAATCAAGTAGGTGTGGAAGTTTAAATATCTGGAAAGTGTTCTGACAGAGAACGGTAAGTGTGGCACTGACATCCGTAAACGTATTGGGATGGCCAAGTGTGCATTCCAAAAGCTGGGAAGAGTATTGCGAGAAAGGATGATTGGTAAAAAAGAAAAGAGTATTGAGCTGTTACGTGATATCTGTCCTTCTTTACGGAAGGACAGTCTCCTCAAAGAGGAAGAGACTCGAAGCGACGGAGATGTGATTCTACAGAAGGATGCTGAGGATATCATAAACCGAGCGTGTGAGAAACGATGAGGTCTTGGAGGTTATGCAAAGGAGGAGGCTTTACTTAAAATCAGGAAGAGGCAGCTGAAGTTTCTGGGAGACGTAATGAGAAAGGAAGGTTTGGAGAATCTGATACTCATATGTCGAATAGCGGGAAAGAGAGACAATGGAAAGCAACGCACGACATACCTGGCGGGCTTAAGCAAGTGAATGACAGAACTTGGTCTGGGGGAGGTGGCAGAGGGACGAAACTTATTGAGAGCTACAACGGATGGAGGAGTGGAGAGCCATGTTCGCCCACGTTCTGAAAGGACACGGTACATAAAAAGAAAGAAAAATAGATCTTTACTTTTGTTGTTTTTATTAATATACTTAAAATTCGGATTTTCCAAAAGGTTGATGTTGGCTGATATTTTTTATTTATTTATTTTTTTTGGCAACTTATTTCCGCAATCATCCAAGCCAGACCCCCCCCCTCCGAAACACACCTACCATCCCCAATGGTTGGATGTGTGAATACGGCGTCTTTTATTAGCTAACGATAGTAAATCCCATAGCCACAAACACAATTTCAAAACGTCTTTTGGATTTCATAAGGAAGTGAAAATGTTAAGTAAAGGCGCTACGTTATATATATATATATGTGTGTGTGTGTGTGTGTGTGTTATATGCTACGTTATATATATGTTAAACCAGGCGTGCCCAAGAGCCGAAACTTAAGAGAAGCAGGAGTCAAAATAACAGCATAAAATTCATAATGGAAATGTCTGCCATGGCGCGAACATTAAGCAAACTAGTCTTGATTACAAATTTGTGCTTATATTAATTCGATCCTAACTGCAGCTTTGCGTAAGAGCTGTAGTAAGTTAATAAAATCTTAGTAAGATCTCAAATCAATTCGCTAATACAATAAGTAACGGGCTCACTGGCCTTGTGCCAATCTAAGCTTTAATGAGTACGTTTTTTGGGGTGGCGCGATGACTAGAGAGCTCGTCTCGCAATCTAATTCACATATAGCGGCTTCGATCCTCACTAAATGCCATAAGCAACCAAAGTCCAGCCTATATCCAAATTAATCTCAAAGCTACAAATATGTACATCCAAAAGCCTCATCTTGCCATCAAAGAACTGACGAAATGTCTTTCAGCCAAATTTATTAACAGCTCAGACATAGATTCTGTTTAATTTTGCCAGAATAATTACATTCAAAGAAACTACATGTTTATACTAACCCCTACAGTGTCTTCATAGGAGAAACCAAAAAAGCACGAAATGAATTCTTCACGCGAAAAAGAAAAAGAAAAGAAAAAGGAAAAGGAAAAAAGAAAAAAAAGAAAAAAAAAAGAAAAAAGTTCGGTCCGTTTCATGTGTCTCATGTTAACGATGGAAATAACTGATTTGACAACTACACTGGCTGAGTCAAGACACCCAATCACGAATACCGTAATCGTTTTGCCTCGTCAGGCCATGACATGTACTAAACACGTCGCCATATAGGGTGTGTCTGCGGCAAAATAGACCGACAAGGCCCCTCGAGACTGGTTTTGAATTAAAAGTTCTTCTTCGATATTGTTTGCTCATCCAAAGCTGAAGAACACATTCTGCCCAAATACTGTAATACTGATTACTCGACTCTGTATATAGAGATTCTTGACGAAATCCAAAGAAACTACAACGCTATTCATCCTGACATCTGTTTCAGTCACTTTACCCCGAAAGGCATGATATAGCATCCCTGTATCTTTCTTTTTATAAATACCAGTATACCTGTACCGTAAAAATGACGGCAATTTTTAGAAAGTTTTACTAGTGAGATGCAATGAAACGGAAGTCTTGAAACAATGCATTGCGATTCAACTCAGCGGAGATAAAAAAATTCGCAATTAAAATAGAGGTCATTGAACCGTTTCATTAATCCGTTTTTTTTTTGTTGTTTTTTTTAGAAGTTTTAGATGTTCAATGGTATCTATGATTCATTGATTACCTCCGATATTATATAAATCGATTTTTGCTTAATATCTTTCCATGTTAAAAATTGTGGGTTTAATATAACAGTGAAATGGAAATATCTCGCCGAAGAAAAAGATTAGAAAAATAAAGATAAAGACGCCAATGAAAAAGTCTATTTCAAGACCAAACTGAAGAAACACTATCACTTAATACACAAAGGTATCTGTGTGCCCCAAATGAAAGATTGCAGTCTTATTTCTTCAAGTCTAAGAAACATAAGCGTAAAGGAATTGGTTGATTAAACGGTTCATTTTGCTCAGTAAATAATTTTTTCTAAATGCAAATAAATATTTTATTTGTATAGAATATAAAAGCGACTAAGGGAAGTTATCACTCATATTTGCTAACTTAAATTGATTGGTTTGGTTTACGGCATATTATGCTCAATCGGTTATTTAATGCCGACAAGATTTTTATTGCTGGTCATATTTTTGCTGGTAATAATGTATCGTTGAGAATAATTTTTTCCTTCAAATATTCATTGCTGGTAATAATTTTTTTTTACAAAAAGTATTGCTGGTATTAAAACATTTATACGCTTTCAGAGTGTTTTGAGCCTAGTTTGGGGTTAAGCATTTGCCCATATATGGAGCCCTAAGAGGTGCTACCACCCGGGTCAAGGCCGGACCTGGGAACACCAGCAATTAAGAGGTGGTTCCACGCTCCTCAAAACCTGTTTGATGTTTATTATCTTACCCAGGACGAAACAAATTGATTTACCGCCCCTCCCACTACATATGTGACCGGAAATATATAAATACATAGTGATAATTATTATATGGTTTGATTTTCATAGTAATTGTTTTGATGTGCTCTCTTGTTTGGTATCTCGACTTGTCTTATCGATTTACAGTTGAAATTACTAGGTTCTTTCCACCTTGTTTGGTTTAGTTTGTTTTGTTTTACGGCATATCAACCAAAATGGGTCATTTAATGCCGACAACTTTTTTTTTTCTGGTAATATTTTTGTTTTGTCAAAAATCTATTTCTGTTAATTTTTTTTCCTCAAAAATGTATAGCTGGTGATATTTTTCCAAAAACGTATAGCTGGTAATATTTTTTGAAAAACATATTGCTGGCAATATTTTTTTTTCTTCAAAAATTTATTTCTGGTAATAATTCTTACAAAGTATTTCTCGTATTAAAACCTATTTTTACACTTTTATAATGCCTTTTACCTCAATTTCTGGGTTAACTATTTGATCATAGCTGGGACCCTAACAGATGCTACCACCGCGGGTCAGGGCCAACCTGGGAACATCAGCAATTAGGATTGGTTCCACGCTCGTCAAAACCTCCTGATCAGAGGCCTTGCTGTTGGACGTAGTTTATTGTCATACCCAGGACAGACTTCTTTCCACCTTGTGCCACATCTAAGATTCGCTTAGTAAACTGCTATCTTGGAATTGTCATCTGGGGAAATCTAACCTCATTCAGGAAACATTTCTGGGTTTATGAGTAGCAATAGCGATATTATCCGTTTCCTTAAAAGGAAACATTTGGTATTCATTGACCGAACAGCCAGTGCTAATTTCAGTTGAAATTTATAAAATCTGTCACTTAAAAAACCTTTTGGGAAAATAGGTTTCTCGCGTCCACCGTTACAGCTCTTTCCAATATTGATAGGCGGTTTCCTTCACAACCTTTTATTTGAAGGACTGGGGAATGTCGACATCTTGTTTATGTCATTTTCTTCCAGTGATTTACTAAGTATGAGGCACGGGTAGTGAATCCTATGTGCGAAGTTCAGTTTCCACTCGATTCAGTCTCGTTCCACGCTAATGCACTCTGAACGGACACGTCGCCATCTTGTTCCATTCATAGGTTAAATAGCAACGCAGAGAGAGCTCTCTTGCCTTGAAGTGGCAACAAATCTAGCCTGAAATCCGATGGGCTCCGTCAGGCTATCTTAGGTACTTGGGGGTGCCTTCACGACCCTAATGAGCTAGAAGATTGGTAATATGATTTACTAAGTAGAGTTTAGTTTTTTTTTTCTTTTTCTCTTATTCATTTTTCTTCCTTTTTGTTTTTCTTTCTCACACTTCCTTTTCCTTCATTTTCTATTTCAAAGATTTTTCCTATCTTTCCTTTTTTCCCCATCGTTTTTCTTTTATTCTTTTCTTTTCCTTCTTTATCCTTTTCTATCCTTTTCCATTTTTTCTTTACGCTTCTGTTCTATTTCCACTTCTCCTTCTCTTGACATTTTTTTCTCCCTCATTCTCTCGCTCTTTGTTCTACTTCCTTAAACTTATTCTTTCTTCTTCTATGTTTTCATGAATTTGTTCAATATATCCTACTGGCCATGTCATGGATTATATAAACAGATAAGTGGTTATTGTATTGATTGGTTGCTGCTTCAGGAGTTTTCGCGTATTAGTGTTTAGTGGGCTTTACAAACGTCAAATTCGGATGAGTGCTCAATGAAGTCATAATGCAAGTCTTCCGTAAGCCAGAAAGCGGATTATTTGAATTGGTATAGGGTAAGTCCTACAAAGTAATGATTCTTATACAAGAGGCACTTCTCCACCACACCACAGGATAATTTCAAATATAAGGTGAGGAATGATTTGAGAATTAATTCTCAAATTTTATTAAGTATTTTTCCTTTAATTGTAATTTATAAAGCATTTAGTTTAATATTTTCAATAAATACTACGGTTAAAGTAGGAGGGAAATAATTATTAGATGTCAATTGAAAAAGGGGGAGGTATTGAAGCAACCTGAAATGGCAAGGGGATGAATATGATTTGGACTGGAAACTACTGTAGCAGAATAATTCCTGCCATTATGGATTATATACCAAAGCTTAGCTTAGTCCCGTAAATGGCCAAAGGTTTTTTTTTTTTTTTTTTTTGCTTTTTTACAGTATGGTTCACACCTGTACAAGGCACGAGATTACGTTAAGGTTTATTTTATATGGTACTCTCTTCCAATGAGCAGTTCTTTACGAGGAGAAGCTGTTCGAGTGGAACTTACTTCTCATCAATGGAAAATGGGGGGGGGGTGATATAATGTGTCATGGCGGGTCCGAGCCGTGAAGGTTAGTCCTGGCGGAACCAAGGAATGTAGTTCTTCCGAGCACTTTCCATGGAAGTAGCGATAGAGCAGTGAGAGGCTTTTCATATCCCGCCTGTGAGAGAGAGAGGTTGGAGGGTGGAAAATAATTCGTCACCCAAAAGGACTTCTAATTGAAAGAATGTATTTCGACAAACGTCGTAGTATTTACTTGAGAAAAAAAAAAAAAAAGATTTAACAATTCCCATGTATAATACGCATTTTTTCTAAAAAAAAAAAAAAAAAAAATAAGCAAAATCAGGGGTGCGTATCATGCACAAAAAAAAAAAAAAAAAAAAAAAAAAAAAAACCTTTAAAAAAATTGCCGTAAAATAAAATAATTATAATAAAACTAAATTAGAAAAATATTTGATTAAACCCATTTTTTTAAATAAGAGTAGTAAACCCTGGTCGTAATGAAATTGGAGATGTACAATTTATAGGTTTTGATTACCAAACAAGGGATGCGTATTATGCATGGGTAGAAGCATTTTCCTACACTTTCAGCACAATTTCAAGTGTACGTATTATGGATGAAGGCGTATTATACATAGGGAATTACGGTAAATCTTTTTTTTTTCTCAAAATGACACCAACGTATAACTACTTTTTACCTGGATTTAATTTTAGCTTAAGTGCGGAAAAGGATTAATTGTAAAATAATTTCAAATTTGGAACCAATTTCCGTATTTAATCAGTCACAAAACATCGAGAAACGTGAACCTAGTGAAAATCAAGTTCATTACAACATAGGATTTGAGTTTTGCATGAATGCATCAATACGTGTTTTCTTTTTAATAAAGAATTTTTAAAAAGCGGGTGGAGAGGGGAATTCTAGCAAATGTTTCTGAGCTGTAAGTAAAAACCAGAGATTTAGAAATATCGATGATATTGACTATTTTCTCAATAAAAAAAATGGGATTAAACTGATATGCCTTGTGCCAGACTTTCATAAGCATTTCACCTTATCACGAATCTGCAGTGGAGAATAGTCTGCACACTGCACAGAAGATAACCAGTTGGATGCATTGTTCAGTATGAGAACCTGTTTTCGCAAAAGCCGTGAATGGAATCCTCAGGTGTGAACTCGAAGTGGATGCCGCCTTCTGCAGGTGAAGCAGTTAATGAGAAATGGAGATAAAACATACTTTGTTATCTGGCACGTGATGGAATTATATTAAGATTTAAATATGTGCACGCGTATGGATTTGAGGCCAAATTTGGATGGGGGAGCGAAATAAGGCGGGGGGTAAATTTGATGGCCAAAACAGGTTCGGTCGAAATTCAAGAACACAACGAAAGCGTGGGCAGAACGAACCCACAAAAAATAAAGGTCCGAATAAAAAATTTTAAAAAATGGGAGCAGATGAAAGGCATATTAAAAGTATCATATGTAACAGCAGATCTGTCTACTACCAAAAATACCTACAGAAGCCTTGTTGAAAAGAGTCACATGACAGAGACAGAGAGAGAGAGAGAGAGAGACAGAGAGAGAGAGAGACAGAGAGAGAGAGAGAGACACAGAGAGAGAGAGAGACACAGAGAGAGAGAGAGACAGAGAGAGAGAGAGACACAGAGAGAGAGACAGAGAGAGAGAGAGAGAGAGACAGAGAGAGAGAGAGAGACAGAGAGACAGACAGCTGAGAGAGAGAGAGGCTGTGAAGTGAATGAGTGAGAGTTTTCACTTCCTTTTAGGGGCATATGTTTACACGAATTAATCAACTTCGACCCCTTTCAACCGAAGATCTGGGTCTATGCAAGCGGCTGACAAAAACACACACGAAATATTCCCTACGTTTGGTTCAAATATTTTTAAAATCTTCTCCGCGTCCACTTCTTGTCTAATATTCTTTTGGATGTTTAAATGACCCAGGTTTTCAAAAACATGAAAAATTAGAGGGGTTTTATTTTTTGGGTGGGAGGTATGTTTCCGCCCCCCCTCTTTATACAACACTGAAACAAACTCGAAATAAAATCAGTCGGGCACTGCTTTAAAAAAAAATAAATAAAAGGACTTCGAAGGAAAAAAAACAAGTGCTGAATTGCATACACTTCCCGTAAATGTCTATTACTTACTTATGACAGTAGGCAAATGTTGCGATAAGACATTTGCATATAATGGATCCCTGGAGAACATTTAATATTCAATTCTAATCGTATTTTTCTATACTATAAACGATATTAAATCTATTGAAGCAGTATGCTGAATAATTATTGACCAGACCTACATCTTGAAATCTGGTCCATCGTGATTTTAGGGTTCGTTGTCCCTTTATAGTCAGACTGAGAACTTTTCTGTTCGCATAATTGTAAAATAGAAACTGCGAGATGACATTTACATTATTTACATTGTTCGGACTGTTGTCCTCATATGTATTGCCATATTTACGTTTCGGCTGTTGTATGTCCTTCAAGTTAGTTTTAAAACTCTTTGGGTCAAGTCACTCACTGGATCCAACCAACACTTTTATCCACTGGGCCATCTGCCCTTGTTCTAATAACCTGAAGAAAGCCGGGGCGTACAACGTCCGAAACGTTGTGAATATAGCAATAATGACGAGGACAACAAAATAATTACAATAACTCATCTCGGAAAAATAGACAGATCCTGAAGAAGGCTGGAGTGTACAACGGTAGAAACGTCATGAATATGACAATAAAGATGAGAACAACAGTTCAAACAATGTGAACAATGTAAATAATTACAATATCTCATCTCAAAAATATTAATAGACCATTTAAATGTTTACGTAATAGTTTTTTTTTAAATTTCAGTCGTTGTAATTTTTTAGGCCTATAAAAGCCTATAAATGATAAAATTGTTGAGAAATATGTACTTTATCGAGTCCTTTTGACCAGCGATCATGATTTGATATTTGGCCAATCAAGGCTACGTAGTCATTTACACATTTTGTGTGATTTGAAGTCACAAGTCCACACAGAATAGGTAAATGACTGGCACAGCCATCGACAGCACCCGGACAGTTTTCGTCTGCCCACTTTCTCTCACAATTCTTGGGTCAACCAGTGGTATGGTTTTCTGACACTTCCCAGGTGTACCACACGCTGGAACAGTTCCCCTGGAATGATATTAAGGTCACCTCCTACACTAATCAACTATGGTAAGATTCGAAGGCGAAGCTCTAACTACGCGGATACGCATTTACTGTTCAAAAGAGGCGGTACCAAGATCTCTGGAGGAGGAATATGGCATGGGACTTTGTAACTAGGTATGAAAGTGAATGCAACGAATACAGTCTTAGAACGAACGAGAAATTATATCGGTTATAAAAAGGAATGATAGAGTCGACAGAAAAGTGTTTGATTTGTTAATATTCACCTACGAAAAACCTTCGGAAAAGCCATAATCCACATCCACGAATTGTTTTTTTACGGCTTAAACTTTTGCAGCTTATTTAAAGCTAAAAAATATTTTTAAATTGTAAGAATGTTTTGAGGTAATGATTTTATTGATACAAGTTCTAATTAACCCACAACTGCGGAGAGAGACAGGGTAGATTCATACATTTCAAAAGCCTGTTTGCATGTAAATAAATATAATGAACCCGAGTGGAATTTGAAATTCCAGTCAGCTATCCATTACACCACGCACACATCCAAGCATACAACACCTGATATCCCCAAGCGGTAACCCATCTAGGTACTAACCAAGCTAGACGTTGCTTAACTTCGGTACGAGAACCGGTGTTTCAATGTGATATGGCCGTAAGCTTGCGAAGTCTTCAGATATGTTGCCAAACAGCGACACTGACGAAGCAATGACTGAATTGAATTGTGTAAGTCACTCTTGTTTCGGTCATATATACCGCATCCATTTAGGATCATGGGAACGATCATGTATTTCCTCACTTTACTATCTTTTCTTATAGGTCCTAGAATTTTCCACATTTTTTAATTGTGACAGAAACTTTGTTACTTTTCTCCTTAAAACCAGCTAGTTGCTTACATGTTCCGTACATGTTATTCTCAGAATGCTTCTGTAGAACTACATCTGTTACATTAAGCCTCTTCTTTATCTGTGAAGAAATTGCCCAACATTCACACACAATATATATATATATATATATATATATATATATATATATATGAAGAGATATACTCTTAAGGTGTGCTATATTTATGGGATGAAGTGCTCAATATCAGAGATAGAGCGTGTGTAAATAAAAAATGTGACCTGACGATTACATCTAGCTTGAAACAGCCTGTAACCTCTAAGTGTTGACTACAATGTTCACTTATATATATGTGTGTGTATATATATATATATATATATATATATATATGGGAAGATTGATATTAGAGACTTTCACCAGTTTCTTAACACTTAATTCTTTGCTTATCTTTTGAAAGGCATCTTCCAATACAATTTCGGATTTCTGTGCCACATTTTTTTTCGTCTGTGATAACATATCCAAAATGGTTAAATTTCTGTACTTGCCTGATTCTAACGTCTCCAATATGTAATTCGTCTTTGGCAGTCCCATTTGCTAACAACCAAACTTTGTCTTCTTACAATTTATGGTTAGTCTTTTCTTCCTGCTTTTTTATTTGCTTACACGCATTTATAAGTGTTTATATTTTAGAAATTTGATATCTATTGATATTTACACGCGGACTGTTATTCCCCCACCCCACCCCCGTCACGAGGTTTTAGACGTTGTGTCTATTGGCTTTCATCAGATGCTCGCCGATCCAAGTTAGTTTCAGAAAATTTCAAGATTCTACGGTCACACCGACCTCATATGGCCGTCAAAATGGACTTGCTAGTTAATATATTCATTTAAGACATCTAAGTATTCCAATGTGCCCACATTTTCAACCATTTCAGGAAGGCACCATTTCGAAATTGGCCCTCATTTAGGTTCCCAAAGTAAAAGCCTTTTAAACTGATCATACAGTAATGCAGTGTTAGTTCATTCTTGTAATAAAGACGTTTTATATAATCCCGGAAAATGCCTAATGCAGTAGAGGATATTTGGCACAAAGAACACGAATCTGATAGGATATGTAAACTGAAATTTTTAAATCCAATAACATTCTCCAAGCGACCATTACAGCCAGCTTATAGAGCGTTTCATAGCGTCCTTGTGTTTGGTATAAAGCCAAACTCAATATGAATTATGTCTGAATAGTGGAAAACAACGATTTAAATTTTAAAATCTTTGTATTTGAAGCCATATTTCTGTTAGCCTCGTGACAATTCTTGTATTTTTAAGGCGAAACGGAATTTTCTATGACTTTTAGACGAATTATATTTGTCGACAAAGAATTTATCAAAACATTTAAACAGTGACTCTTGTGCCACAGCTAAGCTAGGAAAATCGTTACTTATTTATAAGTAGCGATTTTCCAAGCGTAGCTTAGATGTGGCACAAGACCGAAATTATGGGGCACCCAGTGAGGATCGAACTCGCTTTTCAATAGTAACTGATCTAGCAAGACAGACTTGCTAACCATTACACCACGCCGAGGTGCCTCGCTTATATATAAGTATAAACATTTACACAAACCAGCTGAATACAACATACGGTGTTTCATCGATATAGCTATAACATTTTCTACATTAATCTAATACGGAATATCATACAGTGTCAATTTTAGATCAAAATTCAAATATGTCAGGCTACAAACTTATTGATCCATCTTATTGGTTTGATTTGTTTTACGGCATATCAACATCAATGGGTTATTTAATGCCGACAAGATTTTTATTGCTGGTATTATTTTTTTCAAAAATGTATTTCTGGTAATATTTTTTTTAAATGTATTCCAGGTAATATTTTTTTTCCAAAAACGTATTTCTGGTAATATGGTTTTCTTCAAAAATGTACTTCTGGTATTAAAACCTACTTTTACACTTTCATAGAGATTTGACCCCAGTTTAGGGTTAACTATTTGCCCATACTTGTGACTTTAACAGGTGCTACCACCTCGGGTCAAGGTGAACCTGGAAACACCTCTGATTAAGATGTGGTTCCACGCTCCTCAAAGCCTCCCGATCTTACCTTGCTGTTGGAGGTAAGTTTATCGTCTTACCCAGGACGGCCATCTTATTGGAAAATACAAAATAGGAAGTTTGTTATCTCTTGTTAAGTTAGTATTTCATTCTATGACTAGTAATTGTCAATACATTTTAGTTAGGTACCTCCACGAAATCGCTAAAAAAAGAGCATAGCTTGATGAAAAAGACGCCAACCTTGCCGAAAAAAAAAAAAAATTTTATTGTCTAAATGCTTATGTTATTATTTAGAGGAAAGACCAAAGTTTTTTTTTAATTATTTTTTAAAAATTTTCCTTCTTTTAGAAAATTCTAAATTTTGATTAAAAAAAAACCTTGTTTCTATTTGTATCAGCGGAACTAGTAATAACATAGACAATTTTTTAGCACGTTTTTTTGGTATGACACACATTAATTTGAAAAATCGTGCAAAAATAGAAATAATTATCGGATGTTAGGAACTATTCACAGATGATCGAAATTATTATAAATATGTTTTTTTTTATGAAAGTCATGGTAGAAATATTTTTTTTAAAATATTTATTACCCCCCATAACTAATTTTATGAAAACGCTAGAAATTGATCGCATCGGTTTTAGTGATTACAATAATTAAAAGCACAGGGCTTTGAGGAATGCAAATCATGTTTTTTTTTGTTTTAATTGATACCCAATACCTGAAAATCAGCTCTGAATTGTAACATACAAAACTCAATAAAACAAAGATATTATTTAATTTCAAATGCTTTTATTTGCTTTTAGTTGTTTTTATGAATATGGACAATATTTTCTGAAAGCAAAAAAATTTTTTCGATGAAAAATGATTTTTTAATACAATTATTTGTTATTTCATTAATTATAATAGATTTTACATTTTAGTTATATATTAAGTTATAAAATTAGATAAAAGCCGCACAGGCTTTCATAAGTGTCCTTATGAGATAGATCTTTTTTTAGCGCGTTGTAAATTGTATCATTTTGACTAATCATAAGAACCCCAGTAATTAAGAAATGTAATTTTGTGCTTATAATTGAGCTGTAATTATAAAATACGGAAGACCAACCAGAATATAATTAAGTTGGCGTTATTTGAGTTAAGCATTGTTCTCCGCTGTTAAGGCCTTTACTTTTTTGGAAACACGTGTGGAGAAGTTAATTTGATTTTCAATTTCAACTGAGAAGGTTACCTACAAGTATCAGTATCATCTTATGAAATTTATATGATCTTATTTTTATATTAATCTCAGTTACGACATTTTTCCATAAATGAAATATCAAAATTAATAATAAAATGAATGCAAATACAAATAACAATAGAATGTAATAAATGTACATAAAATTATAGTATTTTATGTACAATTCTGATAAAATTTCATAAGAAAGGTACCTATAAATTAATTAGATACCTTTCTTAAGAAATATGAAATTTAATGTCACTCTTAACAGTTTTATTTTAATTTCTTTAGAATATATTTCCCATAAAGCATCATAAACGTAAAGGTGAAAGCTAAGTACAAAAAAAAAAAAATTAGACCGCTGAAAGTTTTCGTTAAAAATAACGGGGGTAAATAATTTGTTCACGTAAATGTAAATTATTTCACTTTTTCTCTTCCGTAGAACAAATTAGCCTCACGGAATCCGTCAATATGTCATTCATCACATGTCTGACGCGAAAGTTTATGACCTGCTTTGTTTTATTTTCAAATTACATCTTTTTTGGCACAAAAAGTTAAGTTTGTTCAAAATATTTTAAATAAACATTATAATTTCTGATTTTCTTAAAATAAGTTTTGAAAAAATGATAATTGATATTTAAAAAATTTAAAAATCAGATTTCATTTTTTTTAAAATGGAAAAAATGGTCAATTTTGTTGACTCAAAAAACTAGGTTTTTAACGAAAAATTTCGGACGTGCTAGGAACGATTAAAAAATGGAAAAAATACCCCAAAAATATTTTGACCTTTCCTCTTAATGAATAACAAACATTTAGACGATAAAATTTTGTTTTCGTCAAGTTTGGCGTCTTTTTCATCATGCTATGCTCTTTTCTTAGCGATCTCGTGGAGGTACCTAATTTTAGTATTTCAAACCATTCCCATCTTGGTTGATAGATGTTACTATAGACACCTGATGATAGCAGAGCGTGCTTGTCCGAAACGTTGTGTCTATGATAGCATCTATATAAACCAAGATGAGAGTCGTTGGAAATGACAAAATGTATATCCTTTTATTATTTCTTGGTATGGACTAATGCGAATATGAGAAAGAAACAGAGGTGGCCTACGTGATTAACACACCAAGAATCGTTTGGTGGCAGATATTATTTTTCATATAGACACGTATATACATAGGCGTTTGTAAATCCCGAATAACAAGCAATTATTATCATTATTTCGAAAAATATTAAATTACATATACAAGCTACGATAACGAACTTATTCGACTTGAAACTCGAGACAAAAACAATATTCGTTTTTATATTAGAATGTATGCAGGTATTAGATGATAAAAACATCTGGTAAAGAGCAAAAAATGGGCGATGTTACACTGGGTTGCAAATGTGGAGAAACCATCAAAATATTCGTAAGGAAATCAGAAACAGTCGAGGAAAAAAAGCAAAAACTCCTAGTTTCATTGTATGGAAACAGTTGGTTTCTTTGAGGCAACAATTTCACATCTCTTCAAGATACAAGGAATTTGGAGAGAGAGCC